GCCGAGCCCAGAAGTTAATCGGTCAGATACATTTAATATTCGGGCGATCGGAAATAACTCTCCGCCATGCAGTCCACGAGGGCAGTGGTCTTCCGGGCGACCCCCAAGCGAAAAAGCGTTCCTCTTTAAGCCCTTGGCGGTTACCTCGCTTGTGCGCAACTTCCTTCCTGGGAGTTTGTCGTCACGATTTAAGCGCCAAAGAAATGTCAGCAAATGTATGATTTGTTCCCCCTTTGAAATTAAGTGTCAGTGCGGGTGAAAATGAAACACACCAGTACTAGAACTGCAAATCGAATATCTCGGTTACGTCTGAAATTAACGGATGTGATCGGTTCATAATGCGGTTAGCACAATTAAACTTGAGTCAATCTTAAAAGAAGATTTATTGATTTTAGCTTTTTTTTCTTTTTTTTTTTTAAATTTTAAATTAAATCTTGATTTGATGTAAATCCGTTTGTATTTTATTTAAAGCTCCTAACCTTTACAGCAGGCCTGCAAACATACGGCCCGTGGGCCCTATTCGGCCCGCCAACACCCACTTTGCGGCCTGCGAGGTAACGGAATATTCTTTCTTTTTGTTGTATATTATTTTCTTTATAGCTTTCCCCACTTGTCCTATTTTCTTTCGGCCCACACAAGTTTTTTTCATTAAGTGTTACGGCCCACCTTACATTTTGATTTGTGCAGGACTGGGTTATAGTAGAAGTATTTGACATCGTCACCGGAGCTGCCATTGGAAATAATATTTTAATTTAAAGTTAATTTCTTAGCATGCAGAATTAACATTTCTTTACATACATAGTTGACATTTCTATATGTACACAGTTAATATTTGTATACAGAGTTAACATTTGTATACATGGTTAACATTTTTATACATAAATAGTTAACATTTCTATATATACAGAATTAACATTTCTATACATAAATATTTAACATTTCTATACATACATAGTTGACATTTCTATATGTACAGAATTAACATTTCTGCACATACAGAGTTAATATTTCTATACAGAGTTGACATTTCTATACATACATAATTGACATTTCTATATGTACAGAGCTAACATTTCTGCAAATACAGAGTTAATATTTATATACAAAGTTAACAGTTCTATACAGAGTTAACATTTCTATACGTACATAGTTAACATTTCTATACGTACAGAGTTAACATTTCTATACATACAGAGTTAACATTTCTATACGTACAGTGTTAACATCTCTATACATACATAGTTAACATTTCTGCATATACAGGGTTAGCATTCCTATATGTATAGATTTAACATTTCTATACGTACAGAGTTAACATTCCTATATGTACAGAGTTAACATTTCTATATGCACATAATTAACATTTCTATAAGTACAGAGTTAACATTTCTATACGTACAAAGTTAAAATTTCTATACGTACAGAGTTAGCATTCCTATATGTATAGATTTAACATTTCTATACGTACAGAGTTAACATTTCTATATGTACAGAGTTAACATTTCTATATGTACAGAGTTAAAATCTCTATGCAGAGTTAACATTTCTATACACATGGCGACAATCAACCGTCCAGTTCACTCAGGTGATCATGGCGACATTCAACCGTCCAGTTCACTCGGGTGATCATGGCGACATTCAACCGTCCAGTTCACTCAGGTGATCATGGCGATATTCAACCGTCCAGTTCACTCAGGTGATCATAGCGACATGCAACAGTCATGCTCACTCAGGTGATCATGGCGACAATCAACCGTCCAGTTCACTCAGGTGATCGTGGCGACATGCAACCGTCCAGTTCACTCAGGTGATCGTGGCGACAATCAACCGTCCAGTTCACTCTGGTGATCATAGCGACAATCAACCGTCCAGTTCACTCAGGTGATCATAGCGACAATCAACCGTCCAGTTCACTCAGGTGATCATGGCGACAATCAACCGTCCAGTTCACTCAGGTGATCGTGGCGACAATCAACCGCCCAGTTCACTGAGGTGATGATGCCAATGGTCAACCCTTCTGGTGTAAGTTTTGAACCAACCTATCACGGTGGCCACCAGTTGTGTTGGGGTGCCTTTCTTCTATCGGACCTGCACACTTTGTTTTGTTTTTGTTTTGTTTTTGTTTTGTTTTTTGTCTTACCGTAAACCTGCTCCACTGTACAGCGAAGAAAGTGGCCCTGTGGTTATCACTTACGCAAATAGAAACTTTTTTTTTTTAAATCCATGACACACTGCAGGTCAGCTTTTCTTGGTTGCCTTGTCCCAACCAGTTGTACACGTTAATGGATCGGTCGTTTAATTGCATCCTCTTCAAATAACAGAAGGGGAAAGAAGAGAAAACACACAAAAAACACCTTTTAACACCAGCTTTAATGACGAACAATTAAATTTCACCTGACCGTAAAATCACAGATGAACTCAGCCAAGCTAATTGCAACCTGGTATTGAACTAAAACTAAATTAATGAAACTCCAAGCCCAAACATCTTTAAAAAAATCATTTTAAAAACAACATCGTCCCCGTGAACCGTCTAATAAAGGAGGACATGTAATTGTCGCCATGAGTGTCAAGTAGAAGTCTCGTACCCACATTCTTCTAGCGTCGCTGAACTCTCCCATTCCCCCCTCCCCCCGCCCCGTGATAATTATTTGTTGGTCTTTTATTCTGGTCATGAAATTGCCCTTTCCTTTCAGTTAACCTGTAATTAGTGGTACAGCCCCGAGGCCATAACCGTCACCTTTTAATTGCCGTTTTCTGGTCTTCCTTGTAGCACTCAGGTAATTGAACCAATGTTTAAACATACATTTAAAGCTTAGGTCGTCCCCCACCGCCCCCAATACAATGGTTCTGCTTTGTAAGCTAGTATGACTTAACCACGTTATACAGATGTATACTCTGCGGTTAGCGATTGTTTTGAAAGCGTGGTACTTCAAGTCAGTTCACAGAATTGTTCGGTCTATTTACACCGACGCACGGAGAAACGTGTAGCCGAAAAGTGACCAATGTTTTAGTCTCGTTCAAGTTTTAAACACTAAAAGGTTTAACTGTTCCACTGTTTGAGATTGATCAATTATTCGTGATTTTTCAGTTCAAACTTTGTATGTTGTGGGCTGTATGTAATCTTGCTTCAAAGATTGAAACTCGCGATCTGACGTAGTTAAAATATTTCTACGCTTTGTCAAATAAATAATTAGATTTTATTTTAATTGTTTAACCCATAAGGAGCTTTAAAAAAAAAAAAATTAAATAGTTTTTCCAGTGCGACGGATATCTTAAACATACAGGAATTGAGGGTAGCTTCATGGTCCACTGACTGCAGACACACCTCATTGGTCTTGTGCGTACGTCGGGCAAATAAAAAAAAAACGTCCTTTTTTTTTTTTTTTTTTTTTTGTTATGAAAATATATTCAATGTTTTTTTTTTTTTTTATTCTTTGCGGAAAGTAAAAAAAACATCTCTTTTTTTTTTTTTTTTTTTTTATACCGAACGACGGTATAATGACTATTGTTTAAAATGTGTCGTAACACTTTCTGATATCGCCACAACAAACTTTGGCTGTTTGGCCCGACTTCAAGGGTATTATCGACAAGACATGAACTCCTTAAGACAGTCGCGCAGGTCTCATTGTTTGACCACTGGATCGTACCGTGCACCTTCGCAAGCCAATCAAACCTGAATGCTACAATCAAATATTGATGAAGCTGTCCTAGAATATCTAATGATGAACTTCGGCACAGACATTATCTGCCCATCTAATTATCGTAATGTATTAATCTAGCAGTACAGTTGTTGGCGTATCCCCCCCCCCCCAACTGGCCAAACCCTTACCCAGTATTTGAATACAAGACTGCTCTCGACCCCGAACTCGGACAGAAACATGGATGAGCACACGTTCGTGAACGCCACCCACGACCGCACGTCGGTCACCAGCAGTGATTCTCAAACGGCGATGGACGCCGAGTACGACGCCCTGCAGGTGGTCATGTTCACCAACCATGCCACGTGCGGGGTTTTCTCCCTGCTTGGTATCGGCTCCAATATCGTCAGTGCAATCGTATTCTTTAGGCAAGGTAAGAATCGGTGACAGGGGCGCCCCAAGGCAAGTTAAGAATCGGTGAACAGGGGCGCCCCAAGGCAAGTTAAGAATCGGTGAACAGGGGCGCCGACGAGCAACGTAAGAATCGGTTCTGCACATGATATTGAAAGTGTGTCACAGTATCCCGTACTTGATATTGAAAGTGTGTCACAATGTCCCGCATATGATATTGAAAGTGTGTCACTATGTCCCGCACATGATATTGAAAGAATGTCACAGTATCCCGTACATGATATTGAAAGTGTGTCACAATGTCCCGCACATGATATTGAAAGTGTGTCACAATGTCCCGTACATGATATTGAATATGTGTCACAATGTCCCGTACATGATATTGAAAGTGTGTCACAGTGTCCCGCACATGATATTTAAAATGTGTCACAATGTCCACCACATGATACTGAAATTGTGTCACATTGTCCCGTACTTGATATGAAAGTGTGTCACAGTGTTCCGCACATGATATTGAAATTGTGTCACAATATCCCGTACATGATATTGAAATTGTGTCACAGTGTCCCGTACTTGATATGAAAGTGTACCACAATGTTCCGCACATGATATTTAAAGTGTGTCGCAATGTCCCCCACATGATATTGAAATTGTGTCACAGTGTCCCGTACTTGATATGAAATTGTGTCACAGTGTTCCGCACATGATATTGAAAGTGTGTCACAGTGTCCCGCACATGATATTGAAATTGTGTCACAGTGTCCTGTACTTGATATGAAAGTGTGTCACAATGTATCGCACATGATTTTGAAAGTGTTTCACAGTGTCCCGCACATGATATTGAAAGTGGGTCACAATGACTCGCCATGAACACGGGGTCTTGTTTGGAATCGAAGGATTATTAAACGGTGTTTGGTTTTTATTTAAATTGAAGGATTGTTTGTTAATCTAATGTTGTGTCGGTTTTTTGTTTGCCTCCAAGGTTTCAAGGACACGGTCAACATCTCTCTTTTGGGACTGGCCATCTCTGACCTCATGTCCCTGGTCACCTCACTGTGGGTCTCTATCTGCTGGAACCCCTTGATGTACTACGCCGACCTCCCTTTTATTCCTGGGGACGTGGAGTACCTGACTGGAAGTATACCCCACCTCATCTTCACCCGCGTCACCGGGTGGATCACCGCGTTTGTCGCCTTCGAGCGCTGCCTTTGCATCGCCTTGCCCCTGAGAGTCAAGACCATCGTCACACCGCGGCGCGCCACCTGGTTGATTGTGGCCATCTTCATTCTGGTCGGGGCGGCCCACTCGACGGCCTTCTACACCACCGGTCTGGACGCCGTGTTCGACGCGGCCAGAAATCGGACGCTGCTCGGTCTGGTCGCCCGTCCGCGCAGCGATGAGATCAACAGCGTCTCCTACTCGGTCAACCTGGTGTCCCCCTTCGGCTCTTTCGTCCTGGTCCTGGTCTGCACGGCGGTCACTTCCGCGCAGCTGAGGCAAAAATCGGCGTGGAGGGTCAAGTCGGTGGCCGGGACTGCGCTGAAGTCGACTCCGGGGATTTCCGGGAAAGACCAGAAGATCATCAAGATGGTCGTGGTGATATCGATCGTCTTCATCGTCAGCTACCTGCCCGCCAACGTGATGCACATGATGTACTGCACCATAGCGGACGAGCCGAGCCTGGTGACCGCGTACTGGACCTACATGAGCGTGGCGTTCTCGTTCATCAAAGTCCTGGAGGCCGTCAACGCCAGTGTCAGCATCGTGCTGTATTATACCATGAGCTCCAGGTACCGAGCCGGGTTTTGGGCGATCTTCGGTAAGGGATCTGACGACACGAAGTAATTATCTTCAATCTTTTTTTTTTTTTGTTGAAGTAATTCTCTTCAATCTTTTTTTTTGTCCCTATGGGTGTCTTTGGAGTTGCTGGGATTGAGTACAGCGTTCTACTGCCTACGGGGTGCTGGGTGGCCGAGTGGTCGAAACTGAGCGAAAATCTCAATCAAGTTGGTGGTCTGGAGCTCAATTCCAGCCAAAGCCCAGTCAAGCCCCAGGTGGATGAGACTCGTTAATCTTTGGTGGCATCTCATCTAAGAGAAGGAAGCTCTAAATTCAAAACCGGAGATAAGATAGAGGCCCGTATGCGGATAACATTGGTACAATGAAAACTCCTGCGACGCCACTGATGGGGTTATCAGTGGCGTGGAGAGAGATGATTAGGGAACCAGCTGATAATCCCAAAAGAATAATCCCAGGCTTTGTGGATTTCCTCCTGCGAATTCAACACCATCGTCACATCATTATGACGAACGGATTTACTGACTAGATTGGATTTTTGATGACTGATCTGTCTCTTAGATAACCCACCCGACTAGCTTTGGATTTATTTGTTCGTGGGTGGCTGGCTGGGTGGCGGAATGGCTGGGTGGAAAAAATCTTCGGACGGCTACCTATCGAACTGAAACCTGGCACATAGACTCGTTGCCGAGGAAAACATATTTTATCAAATTTTCAGCCACAACGACCACCACCCCCGACCCCCACAACAAAAAATATTTCAAGTTTATTGTTTTTCAAGGGGAAAATTAAGTGAAATTCCCGATAACTGCGGTAAATGAGATTCTTTTTCTTATTGAAAGTGCGATTAAGAAGTAATGTTTTCTTATTGTTTTTCTAATCAAGTTTGTGAAATAAATCTGTGGCGTAAAAGACGCTGAGTCATTAGAATATTAATATAGCTCAGGGCCGTGAAAATTATGTACATTTGCGAGCCGGGGGGGGGGGGGGGGGGGGGGGGAGATCATGTGACTCGTATAGAGTGCGTTACTTGCATGGAATTTTCTTTTTCAAATTTTCAGCCCCACCCCCATTGCTCGATGACACATTTTATGAAGAATGTTTACTACAAAAAGCTGCTTTAACAACCGGGTTGCTTAATTCCCTTCTAATCTCCTGTTAAAATATGGCCTTGTCCGTTTGTGAACACGACCGTCCTTCAGCGGTATGTCATCGGCTCGTCAACCCCACGATCGGTTTCTGTCAATCTTGGGTGATTGATTTTTAAAAAAGACAGATTAACTTTCATTTATTTTATTTTTTCGTGTCAGAAGTTTTGTCTTTGAACTTCCCCCTGGAGATGATGCCATTCTGTTAGTTAGTCGCAACGATCCGTGGTGCAGGCTCTTCCTTTGATTTCATCCAAACTTTGTGTTTCATCTCCATGAAAACTCTTTTATTTCATTTTCCTTTAAAAAAATAAATAAATCATCGTTTCTCAATTCTGAAAATCAAATTAATATTTGAATCTCAGATGAAATCAAGCTGAAATGAGTTTGTAACTCTAAGCCGTTTGTTTTTTCTTCTTTCTGTCAACATAATTTTACTTAATCACAATGCGTATGAAAGAAAACATGGAACTAAATAATGCGAGGAGATGTCATCAAGTAATTGGAACAATTTAATCTTGAAGAGTTTTTATCTAAATTAAACGCGATAGGAAAACATAATCTCCGACTTAACGCTGTCGTGTCGGCTGAAAGGTAAGCTCGTGTCGGCTGAAAGGTAAGCTCGTGTCGGCTGAAAGGTAAGCGAATGTAATCTAATTAAATCTAAATATACTTAATGAATTGACGTTTCTGCTTTCATCTCTCGACAGTGTTCCCACTTGTAACAGAATGATGTTGTTTGTTTGTTTTAACTTTCAATGGCAGGATTGTGTTCTTATCGAACAGTGTTTATTGCGTGTATATATCAAACAGTTTGTGTCTTTATAACCAACTGTGTTTATTGTCTGTGTGTGTATATATATATATATATATAAGTGTTATTTGTGTGTTTATATCCATCAGTGTTTATTGTGAACCAAAAGTTTTTATTGTGTGTTTATATCTAACATTGTTTATTGTGTGTATATACTTAATCTCATTTATTTATGTGTACATATCCAACAGTGTTTATTGTGTGTTTATATGTAACAGTGTTTATTGTTGGTATATATCGACAGTGTTTATTGTGTATATATCTAACAGTGTTTAATGTGTGTATATATACAACAGTGTTTATTTGTGCGTATACATCCAACAGTGTTTATTTAATCCCATAACTCTACCAATCCCATAACTCAACCAATCCCATAACTCAACCAATCCCATAGCTCAACCAATCCCATAACTCAACCAATCCCATAACTCAACCAATCCCATAACTCAACCAATCCCATAACTCAACCAATCCCATAACTCTACCAATCTCATAACTCAACCAATCCCATAACTCTACCAATCCCATATCTCAACCAATCCCATACCTCAACCAATCCCATATCTCAACCAATCCCATATCTCAACCAATCCCATACCTCAACCAATCCCATAACTCAACCAATCCCATAACTCAACCAATCCCATAACTCAACCAATCCCATAACTCAACCAATCCCATAACTTAACCAATCCCATAGCTCAACCAATCCCATAACTCAACCAATCCCATAACCCTACCAATCCCATAGCTCAACCAATCCCATAACTCAACCAAACCCATAACTCTACCTATCCCTTAAATCAGCCATTCCCATATTTTAACAAATCTCATTACTCAACCAATCTCATAAGTCAGAAATAGCTGCTCACCCGAGCGAGTCCTCCATATTTCACCCATTCCTCAATGTTCTTATCGACGTCACGGATAATGCACAGCAAACAAAACAAATGATCTTGAAAAAAAGTATTTCCACAATTTTATGACCAGTGAAGATTTCGCCATTTGCTTTACAGTATATTTACACTGGAATTGTTGCTTGAGATTGTCTGAATTTACCGTTGCTTTTATTCGACTTAAAAATGTAGAGATATAATTGATGACTTGGCGTGAATTGGCCCCTTGACTTTACAAAAAAAAATGTACATAGCACTTAAATGTAATGCAAATGCTGAGCAATAGCTTCACAAAAAAAGCAATTTTTGTCATAACATAGATTTGTGTTCATTGAATTCATCCACCTCTTGCTAATCTGATTCCCAAATAGATTTGTGTTCATTGAATTCATCCACCTCTTGCTAATCTGATTCCCGAATAGATTTGTGTTCATTGAATTCATCCACCTCTTGCTAATCTCATTCCCGAATAGATTTGTTTTCATTGAATTCGTCCACCTCTTGCTAATCTGATTCCCGAATAGATTTGTGTTCATTGAATTCATCCACCTCTTGCTAATCTGATTCCCGAATAGATTTGTGTTCATTGAATTCATCCACCTCTTGCTAATCTGATTCCCGAATAGATTTGTGTTCATTGAATTCATCGACCTCTTGCTAATCTGATTCCCGATACATTGATTTCCCCTCGCCCGGTCCTCTCCGTTTGACACTCATCCTCGGGTTCACGAGTCCCCCGGATGTTATAGGTGGCGTGGTAATTGTTTAATTACTCCGGCACCAATCCAGTCACCTGAACTACTACAGGGGATCTCCAAATTGCAGTCGATGTCCCCTCATCAGGTCATAAGCACCATAAATACTGTTCTCTTGTATGATAAAGGCGCTGCAAATAGGATTATTGCTGTAGCCTGTTATGACTGAATGAAGTCAATTCCTAAAATGAGGAATACTACAAATTCCATAATTCAGCCAATCTCATAACTCAGTCAATCGCATAATTTATCCCATCTCATAACTCAATCAATAGCATAATTCCACCAGTCGCATAGCTCAATCAATTTTATTTTTCAGCTAAAGAATTTAATTGGCAATCCTATCGTTTCATTAAAGATATTAGAACTTAATGGATTGTTTTGTTCTTTGTTGAATAAGAGGAATGTAAATATATAGATATACTTGTATTTTAACTGGCGTCCTTTTTTTTTTCATTTGGGTTGTGACTGCTTTTATTACTCTGTGCTGCAGTAAGGTAGTAACTTTAAATGTCAGGTATGGTAAAGCTTACTTGATTAATTTTTTTTTTAACTTAGGAACCATGAAGTATTTCCATTCTGCCTCAACACCCATTTGTTGCACGCCGTAAGAACCTCTGAACTCAACATCCACAACTGCAAATATTTCAAGTCTCTATTTTATTTCATCGGCTTCTGTCCGTCCCGCCCCTCCTCCACACACACACACACACCTTTTTTTCTCCGCCTGATCCCTGATCCCCATTACGATATCCAGCGGCGGTTCCGATAGAAACATTTCCTTTGTCTCATCTAAATGGCAACTGCCCCCCTCCTCGTGGGAACTGCCCCTCCAAACGGCAACTGCCCCCTCCAAACGGCAATTGCCCCCTCCAAACGGCAACTGCCCCCCACCAAACGGGAGCTGTCCCCTCCAAACTCGCCTGATCCCTGATCCCCATTACGATACACAGCGGCGGTTCCGATAGAAACATTTCCTTTGTCTCATCTAAATGGCAACTGCCCCCCTCCTCGTGGGAACTGCCCCTCCAAACGGCAACTGCCCCCTCCAAACGGCAATTTCCCCCTCCAAACGGCAACTGCCCCCCACCAAACGGGAGCTGTCCCCTCCAAACGGGAGCTGCCCCCTCCAAAACGGGAGCTGTCCTCTCCCAAACGGAAACTAGCTTTTTGACATATGAATTTCCTTACTACATGAGCCTCTACCCCCCCCACCCCTGCCCACCCCACCCCTGCCCACCCCACCCCCCGACGTGATAAAATGACTTAAGAAGATGATCATTTTTAACAGGGGCTGGTTTACGCGTTGAATATATCAAAGCAAAGCCCATCTCCCCTCCCGTTACATCAGTTTAATGACACCCACCCACCCCAACCCGTTATCTCGACTCCGCTTCTGCATGCTACTAGCTAATCCATTCTCTGTTGATCAAATAGATTTTACGCCACCTAACGATATGACGTCACAAGATGTTCACATATAAAACTCTCCACGGGAGGTCTTACATCTTCTGTATACTAAATATCTTGATCGTCTGTGCCAGGCATTTGTCTGGCTGAGGATGCAAGACATTTGTGTCGTTCGGGAGTTCTGTCTCGCGCATATATAAATTTATTTATTTTTTTTTTTTAATTTGTTAATTTTCTGAAATTTGGTCCTTGTCTTTTGTCATTTATCTCAGAAATATCAGACTTCACTAGTTTCGGAAATACACACGTCGTGCTATCGTGTATCAGACTTTCATTCCAATCATCTGTCAACCGAGGCCTCTGTTTTCGTTTTAAGTTGTTCTCATTAACGTGGTTTCCTAAACAATATGAGAGTGTAGATGCATGAGGATTAATGGGACGAGAGCATCGTCGTATCACCGCTGCTGCGTAAGAGGATGTGCTCCTGCCTAATCAAATGTTAACGGTACGCTTGGAACAGAGCGGTTAATCGTGTTGCTACCCCAGAGAGTGGATTTTTTTTTTCATTATTACATTTAAATAAATTTAGAATAATTTATTTAATTTTTGTATCTGTTATTTTCCTGCGATCATTTACGGTTGTATTTATTTATGTATTTATTTTGGTTAAAAGAAATAAATTGCTTTACTGTTAGACAAGTTGAAAAGGTTTGATCGTACATTCAAGCCGGTACACACCAATCAACACATTTTGGGGAATTTTTTTTTTCAGTTGTCTGCTCTCTTTTTGAGTTGATTAGACAACCTCCGATAATATTTCGCACCGCGTTCCCACCCTTTTGGCCCGTTACTATGACCACCGTGGAACTTCCGGTCAACGCGACCAATCAGAGCGATGTCTCGTTCTCCTTTGGCTTCACCGTCATCCTGGAGTACGCCACCGTCCAGACGTTCCTGTTCGTCAACCACACCCTGTTCGGTGTCGTCTCCGTGTTTGGCATCGGGTTGAACATCATCAACGTGGTTGTCTTCGTCAAACAAGGTACCGTAGGCTTTTCGATAGTATTCAAATAAGGTGGGTTTTTTTTTGGGGGGGGGGGGTTAACTCTCCAAATTTCATCAGGGGCAGATCTAGACAAAAAAATGTTTATGGTACTGGGGGTTAGGTTATATTTTTAAGGTGTATTTGTGGCCTTAAACAATATTTCTATGGTTTCCGACTTATTTAAAAATTGTTAGGGTCACTAAGCATACCAGTGTATTTCATCTAGTTAGTATATGGCCCAACGATGGCTCAGTATGTACTAGGTATCTTGCTGGCATATGGCCCAACGATGGCTCAGTCCTGCTGGTATATGGCCCTCAACGATAGCTAAGTATGTACCACGTTTCTTGCTAGTATATACCCCACAATGCCTCGGTGGGTACCGACTGTGTCTGTAGCGCGATTAATTAAACCTTATTTCAACCAGCGATGTATTCAATTAGTTTTCATGGGCTCTATATGGGTTACTTCCTAGGCGCTGGGTTTTTTTTTTTTTCTTTTAAAGAAAATGTGTATGAAATTTTAAAAAAAAAAATTCTATGAATATACATTAGGATACACTGCCCGCCCATCCAGTTTGGAAACCACTGATCTAAGCGGGATAACGTTTATGTCATAGAATTATTTGCATACATAGCTGCAGTTTTAAATAAATGGCCGTGCTGACCGGCTTATCTTAATAAGTGAACTTATCAACAGATAATATGTAACATATTTAATTGATAAAAAGAACATTTGATATATAAGAAAAGACCTTAGTTTTTGTCGCTAAATTAGCGGCCCTCGGCCTTTTTGTGATGACGAGAATTCAAAACCCTTTTTTTTCCCCGTAAACGGGGAATCGACGTCTCCATGATAAAATAGCTCTTTAGTGTTGCACCCATAAAAGTGTGCGCACCATTAAAGTTTGCGCACCACTCCACTCAATGATCACGTAACCATGCTCACAAAAAGAGCTCTACTTCCCAGGTTTCCAAGACACGGTCAACATAAGTCTGCTCTGCCTGGCCCTGTCCGACATGATGTCCCTGGTGACGCTTCTCTGGTCGTCCATCAGCTGGAACCCTCTCTTCTACCACGCCGACCTCTCTTTCCTGCCGTCCGACGTCGAGTACCTGACCGGAAGTCTCCCGCACCTGCTGTTCACGCGAGTCACCGGCTGGATCACCGCCTTCGTCGCCTTCGAGCGCTGCGTCTGCATAACCTTGCCCCTCAAAGTCAAGACCATCATCACGGCCACCCGTATCAAAATCACCATCGCGTGCGTCTGCGCCTGGGTCACGGCGTGCCAGGCCCCTTCCTTCTACACCAGCTACCTCGCGCCGAAGTTCGTGGCGAGCCGCAACAAGACCGTGATGGGGCTCGTCTTCAGGGACGACAGCGATGACATCGACGGCGTGACGTACGCGATCAACCTCGTCTCGCCTTTCGGGTCGTTCGCCCTCGTCGTCGCCTGCACCGTGATCACCGCCGTCCAGCTGAGGCGGAAGTCACGATGGCGCCAGAAGACGGTCGCCTCGGCGCCGGGCAGGAAGCAGGGCCAGGAACCCGGGGTGTCCACCAAGGAGCAGAAGGTCATCAAGATGGTGGTGATGATCTCGACGGTGTTCATCGTGAGCTTCACGCCGGCCAACGTGGCGCACATCTTCTACTGCGCCATCGCCGAGCAGCCGGTGCTGCTGTACACCTACTGGGACGTGATCAGCGTGATCTTCTCCTTCAGCAAGCTGTTCGAGTCCGTCAACGCGAGCGTCAACTTCTTCCTGTACTACAAGATGAGCACCCGCTACAGGAGCACGCTCCTCGCCTGGGTTAAGCCTCGGGTAACCGAGAAAACCAACAAGGTCTGATACAGAGTCTTTTTGACCTTGTGCCTGCCCAGCACGTCGGTTTCTGGCGGGTCCACTCAAAAAACTAGTGTGTAGATTTTTCTTTAAACTTCCAGGAACGTTAAAAACAAAACACTTAAAATATTTGTTTCCCAATATGGTGATTACTTTATTACGAACTGAAGGACTTTTTCTTGTAACTTGTAAAAATTGGTAATAACTTTTGAGTGACAAAAACAAATGGATATTCGCAACATATACACATGAATATTAGCAAATTATACATATGGATATTATCAACTTTTACACATAGATATTAGATATTAGCAACATATACATATGGATTTTAGCAACCTATACATATGGATATTATTAACATTTGCACATAGATATTAGTAACCTTTACACATGGGTATTAGCAACATATACACATGGATATTAGCAACATATACAAAAATGGATACCACGGATATTAGCAACATATACACATGGATATTAGCAACATATACAAAAATGGTTACCACGGATATTAGCAACATATACACATGGATAATAGCAACATTAGCCCAGATGGCCCTTTCATCCTCCTGCATCTCTTGGATTTTCTTGGATTAGACATTGCACGAACTAAATGTCTGGCTACCTGATCCCTTAGTTCTTCAAAAATGTTCTTGATTTGGATTGATGTCTGTTGCGTTTGAAAATAAAAGAATGTCGAACGCGTTTTGTCATTTTCGTTTATGTTACGGTATGAGGGTAACATAGGGAAAAAAATCACCTTGCAACTTTGTGTGGCAAAATGTATTGGTTGTCGCAAAATAATGTGGGTGTCTGTAAAAGCTTGACAAAAATGCTGCAAAATACCCGTGTAAGCAGATCGTTTCCATGCGATACAGCTAAATATTTCCCTCACGAATACGTCCAGTTGTCAGAGTGTAAGCGGAGTTCGTCGGCCCGGGTAAATGCGGAGCTCGTCGGCCCGGGTAATTACGGACCTAGGCAAATACGGTTTAAAAAGCATTCAAGCCCTGACCATAGGGCAGTTAGTTGAATAACCACACGCCTTTATGACTGACAGCATGTGGTGAAAATTATTTCTGATATTTGAAACAAAGCAATATCATAATTTATTGGTTCGTGGCATGTGTTTGTGATTTGGGGTCTTAATGAGTTGCACACACATGATTGCGAAATACATGGGTGAGTACTTCATCGGGAACTTAAGCCAACAATAACACCTTTGTCTGCTATAATTTCCCGTCCGTTTATCTTAGAATATCTCTTCATTTTTCTCATATTATCCCATCCGTTTATCTTAGAATGTTCACAAAGTTTATCTTAGAATGTCCAAAAAGTTTATCTTAAAATGTACCATCTGTTTATCTTAGAATGTCCCTTCAGTTTTTCTCATAATGTCCCGTCCGTTTATCTTAAAATGTCCCTTCAGCTTATCCTAGAATGTCCCTTCGCTTGTCTAAAATTTCCCGTCCGTTTATCTTAAAATATCCCTTCAGTTGATCTTAGAATGTCCCTCCGCTTATCTCAAAATGCCCTGTCCGTTTATCTTAAAATGTCTCTTCAGTTTATCTTAGAATGTCCTTCCGCGTATCTTAAAATGCCCCGTCCGTTTATCTTAAAGTGTCCCTTTCGGTTCATCTCAGACTTAAAGCCAAAACACGACGTTTTCTTCTCCCACCTCATTCAATTTGATTGACAGGAAATCCCCAGAGCCTGGACTTTAGCTTTCAGCCTGTCTGAGGATTCATTGGCCACAAGTATTTAATCAGTCTGCTCGCCAAAGTGTTTCAATATTTGACTGAGGATTGACATTTTTTTGTAGCCGATGTTTTGCAGGTTTCTTATACAAAAAAAAAAATAATAAATTTCGAGATGCTGTCGAAATGTCGCATTAACCACCAAATCAACCCCCCCCCCCCCCAAAAAAAAAAAAACCCACACACACCTCAAAAAGGAAACAAAATAAAAATGAACCCCAAAATATTGTGCACACAACTTGGCCCTCCACAAAATTATGTAGTATCCTAGAGTTAGGAAGGTGATAGATGGCTCTCCAACATACTCTGTAGAGATTTACAAAGAGGGTGGTGATAGATGGCTCACTACCAAACTCTGAAGTGACCCAGAGTGAGGGCGGTGATAGATGGCTCTCAGAGTGAGGGCGGTGATAGATTGCTCTCCACCAAACTTTGAAGTGACCCAGGGTGAGGGCGGTGATAGATGGCTCTTAGAGTGAGGGCGGTGATAGATGGCTCTCAGAGTGAGGGCGGTGATAGATGGATCTCCACCAAACTCTGAAGTGACCTAGATTGAGGGCGGTGACATTTGGGGTACGCATCCTCACTGTGTTTATTTCCATCGTCCAGCCTCTGTTATGTTTCATCAGTGGCGTATTATACCTACAATGCCTGGTCCTCTAACGTGCGTGTGTGTGGTTTAGGGGGGGGGGGCGATATTTTCCCGGGTCTTTGGGGGCAATGAACATATGAATTATGTTCACGTTTTTATATTTCTGCTTTTCTCCTTGCCAAACTGATTAGATCGGAGTTTTCTCAAGAGATGAGCTGTCAAGTGGTCACCCTGGGAGATGCAAGATCTGACCTCGCCAATCTCTCTGTGGATCCGACTTGTCAAGTGGTCACCTTGGGAGATGCAAGGTCTGACCTCGCCAATAGCTCTGTGGATCTGACTTATCAAGGGCTCACCGTGGGAGATGCAAGGTCTGACCTCCCCAACCTCTCTGTGGATCTGACTTGTCAAGGGGTCACCGTGGGAGATGCAAGGTCTGACCTCGCCAATCTCTCTGTGGATCCGACTTGTCAAGTGGTCACCTTGGGAGATACAAGGTCTGACCTCGCCAATATCTCTGTGGATCTGACTTATCAAGGGCTCACCGTGGGAGATGCAAGGTCTGACCTCCCCAACCTCTCTGTGGATCTGACTTGTCAAGGGGTCACCGTGGGAGATGCAAGGTCTGACCTCGCCAATCTCTCTGTGGATCCGACTTGTCAAGTGGTCACCTTGGGAGATTTGCAAGGTCTGACCTCCCCAACCTCTCTGTGGATCTGACTTGTCAAGGGGTCACCGTGGGAGATGCAAGGTCTGACCTCGCCAATCTCTCTGTGGATCCGACTTGTCAAGTGGTCACCTTGGGAGATGCAAGGTCTGACCTCCCCAACCTCTCTGTGGATCTTACTTGTCAAGGGGTCACCCTGGGAGATGCAAGGTCTGACCTCGCCAACCTCTCCGTGGATCTAAATTGTCAAGGGGTCACCCTGGGAGATGCAAAGTCTGACCTCCCCAACCTCTCTGTGAATCTGACTTGTCAAGGAGTCACCCTGGGAGATGCAAGGTCTGACCTCGCCAATCTCTCCGTGGATCTGACTTGTCAAGGAGTCACCCTGGGATATGCAAGGTCTGACCTCGCCATCCTCTCTGTGGATCTGACTTGTCAAGGGGTCACCCTGGGAGATGCAAAGTCTGACCTAGCCAATCTCTCCGTGGATCTAAATTGTCAAGGAGTCACCCTGGGATATGCAAGGTCTGACCTCGCCATGCTCTCTTTGGATCTGAAATCTTCGTCGTACAAAGATACTGGCCTTACGTCCTTTGTCTCCCTCTCTCGCTCTCTCTCTCTCCATCTCTTTCTCTCTTTTTCTCTCCATCTTTCCCTCTATCACTCTCTCTCTCACACTCTGTCTCAGACTCTGTCACACACTCGCACTGACACACACAAAGTTCAACGCCGTATCACTGCTCGCCGCTCAGCTTTGAGGTGGGTACAAGGGTGCTGTAGTTGTCGGCCATAACAAGACAAAACCACTGACAACCAGGGTCTAGGACATCACCGCTTTTTAGGACCCACTACCCTGTCGGTACGGACCTTGCCTGAGAATTGCCTCTTCCGGTTTCATCTGGTTAACCACACAGATAGGTGTCAGATTTTTCACCAGTATCTAATAGGTTTTGATTCCTTCCAAACACCCTGCCCTCCAATTTAACGGAATATTATTCTCCATATATCATAGGGAATTGTTGTTCACTTTTGAAGTTCTTAACAAATCCCGTGTTGTTCTTAACAAATCCCGTGTTGTTCTTAACAAATCCCGTGTTGTTCTTAACAAATCCCGTGTTGTTCTTAACAAATCCCATGCTGTTCTTAACAAATTACATGTTCTAAACAAATCCCGTGTTGTTCTAAACAAATCCCGTGTTGTTCTAAACAAATTCCGTGTTGCTCTAAAAAAGTCTGATAGACTAGATATGGAATGAAGTGGTCACCAAATAGTAACTCAATAATGAATGATAGACTAGATATGGAATGAAGTGGTCACCAAATAGTAACTCAATAATGAATGATAGACTAGATATGGTATGAAGTGGTCACCAAATAGTATCTCAAGTATGAATGATAGACTAGATATGGAATGAAGTGGTCACCAAATAGTATCTCAATTATAAATGATTGACTAGATATGGAATGAAGTGATCACCAAATAGCATCTCAAGTATGAATGATAGACTAGATATGGAATGAAGTGGTCACCAAATAGTATCTCAAGTATGAATGATAGACTAGATATGGAATGAAGTGGTCCCCAAATAGTATCTCAAGTATGAATGATAGACTAGATATGAAATGAAGTGGTCACCAAATAGTAACTCAATAATGAATTATAGACTAGATATGGAATGAAGTGGTCACCAAATAGTATCTCAAGTATGAATGATAGACTAGATATGGAATGAAGTGGTCACCAAATAGTATCTCAAGTAGGAATGATAGACTAGATGTGGAATGAAGTGGTCACCAAATAGTATCTCAATTATAAATGATAGACTAGATATGGAATGAAGTGGTCACCAAATAGTATCTCAAGTATGAATGATAGACTAGATATGGAATGAAGTGGTCCCCAAATAGTATATCAAGTATGAATGATAGACTAGATATG